CCCTTCGATGAATTCGCACCATTGCGAACCAACGAACAGCAGAGATCCGGTTCTGCCCAAAGACCGTACTCCCAGCCACCGTTGCCGATGCCGATGCCGATGCCGATGCCGATGCCGATGCCGATGCCGATGCCAAGTTTCGTCGACGAGACTCTGAACGCAATATTGTCAGACAAGTCGTCCAACACCGCTCGATCGACGTCCATCGCGCAGGACACCACATACTCGATCCAAACGGTGCAACACACTGCTCGTATTACCGTACAGACTATCAACAGCGTATCGAAACCGGACATTACACCCGACATTGTCTCGCCGATGTCGCCGGAACCGCTCGTCGGAGACGATACACCGAGACAACACAAGAAAGAGAAATTTAAATCGGAAAGGTCCAAGTATCATCTGATCGATGAAAACCACGGTGACGTTGTCAACGTTTTACCGTCGAGCCTGTTGCCTCACAAGGGCAAGTCGGTCTGTCTGAAAAAGTCACCCAAGACAAAGAAGTGCTCCATCATTGCTGCGGCTGGCTTCAGCAACATGAGTTTCGAGGATTTCCCGAGCGACGAAAACGAGGAGAAACAAATCACAACGCCACAGAGAATCGCACCGTTCGAAGTGGTCAGGGAACCCGAGAAACGTTTCGGATCGCTCAAGAGAAGAAGCAATCCATTCATTTGAGACGAAGACGGTACAAAGAGAAACTTCACCAAGAATACCTATACGGGTATGAAGAAATTTACATGATTTCACGCTTTACGGCAGACTCCCTCAGATTCCCTCTACAGAAATGTCCAAAGTACGTCGATAGTTTTAGCTCGTCACCGGTCTACCAACTAATAAAAACAATCGAATCGTTTGAAAATTAATATTCGAGTAAAGTATACATACACTGTACACAGTGTTTCCTCGTTAACTGACCGGGCAAGGTTACGAAGAGAAGCGAGTTTTGTATTTCGAACCAAGATGTTCTCTCCGAAGTATTGTAAATTAGATTTTTCTCAAGTATTCGGAAGAGTAAGTAAAATATTTTTTTTGCCATTAGGACCGTGACAAAAACCAGAGACGGAAGAAGCAAACATTAAAATACAGTATTGCCTAGGACCAAGCTCTCGCGTTTGGATGAATTTTCACCAAGAAGACCAGCGAATAATCTGAAATTTTTATCACAAGATGAAATTTAAGGCGGAAAAGTTATTTGGGTAACACTAGTTCGGTTATCGAGGAAAGAGTTTGTGGATCGATTAGTCAGATAGTATACATATGTATATTAACACAGACCTAACCATATTGGTATCGACGAAGGCTAGAATTTACGATAATGTAGGTACTGTGCACGAACAAGTGCACAAGTGATACGGAAGGAATGCGGGTGGGTTTCATCGATTATAATAAAAATAGGAATGCCTACTGGGAAAAGTTTCATATACATAGTATGTATACATACATACAATGTATTTTTAGTTTCATATTAGCGACCGAACGCAGAAAATCCCCCTTGCCTCTGTGTCGTCCCGTAACACTTGTTTCTCTTTCGTGCACAGTACATAAAGTTGAGCGATGGCATGCGTTGCATGCACGACGTCCATTTAATATCTTATACAAATACATAGAAAATTGATACGCGATTTTTGTCCAATAATAATAGTTTACTCGTGAAACATAATACGTATAATCGAAGAAATTTATTCGTTTCCTCGTAAAAGTCCTGCGACCATTGTCGCTTGTTTCTTTCATTCCTTTATTTAAAACATTTAGTGTTTGCGCATACTCGCATGTAAGTTTATACGGAACAAAAGTATGTATTTGTACCAGAAACTGCCAGAATCTGTCTGGTTAAAGAAATTACAAATGAAACTTGTAAAAAATGTAACTCGCGTCGGTCAGGAGATACCGATTCGTGCAACTAGCGCGTAGAAATTCGACAATTCGAATAATAAACTAAATCGAATGTCGGTTTTGTCAGAATGTTTTTTCAGCGAACGAATCCAAGTTGAAAAATACGAAAGGAAAATAGTAGAGAAAGAGCGCATATAAAGACAGCTCGAGCATCTATTTTTGCAACCAGGCATTTTCTACGCTACGTTTGTACTTTGAAATTTCTAGATTACTACTACTACGATCTAGCAGTTCTTACAAATGAGACAGTATTTCTAAGAAAGTAAATTAATAGCTAACAAGAGACGTACACGATCGAATTTTCCATATCGTGTGTGTATACTCGTATTGCTCATGCCCAAACTTTTCCAAGGAACCATTCTTACGAAACAGAAATATGTATTCTGCGACTATAATAATTCCGACACGGTTACAAGGTACCGCAGACCACAAAATTATTTGCGCATGCAGAATAAAAAGACAATAAAAGGATGTAAATGTTTGTTTGGTAAGAAATAAATAAAATTATAGAATGTTGTTGATCCGGGTGAGATTCTCTCGACGTCACTAGACTCCGAAGGAACGCCGCCCCGCCACACACCTAAACACTATGGCGATAATCCCGTGCATGTTTTAATTTTCCAACACATAAATTACAAAATTTAATTTTAATTTAGATTTTCTAAATCTAAACTAGATTTAAATCATTACTTTTTCATAGAACCACTGTTGTTTTATCGCCTTTTTATTTTGCATATTTCTAGTAAATTGCTGTTTGTGCCAGTAATTTTGTGACTGATCGTATCTACGTCTTTTGAAACATCGAAACGACGCGGCGCAATTAATACGTACCATCGAAGAAACTCTTGAAATGTTTAACTTTATTCTACTATAGAAACAAGTTGTACACGATTCGCGACACGAGAAATCTTTTTTCAACTTATTTACCAATCGCTCGTTCGCTGGAAAGAACCACTAAACGTCGATATCCCTGACAATCGTACGTGTCTACGAAACGAATATTATAATACGTATGTACGTAGGATTCGTATTTAAAGGGTAGTTACTACTACCGTACACACGCGACCAGTTCAAGTTTGCAGATGTGCCTACGCGTAATCCATGATTACCGAATTTCAAAATTTCAAATAACTTACGTTTATTCGTGATGCGTGTTTAACAGATTAAAAAGATACATCGAGAGTGAAAGTACACGATGTTTTTAAAAACTGGACTATACATAGTTGCTTTCTATAAGCAGAAGGGGTAAAAGTTGATACAGAAAACCGTAGAATGGTTTAACGAGGATCGCTCGCCTCCCTCCCTTCTGCTCTTCTAATTTCTTATCGAGAGCAAAAAGGGTAAAGGCAATATTACTTGTCGGGTTGTCAGAGTTCACCCACCACTGTTCACTCTATAATCTGAGAAACGATACTCTAATCTCGCAGAAATAGTATAGTGGATCCGGTTAAGCCACTCTGACAAAAGTCTTCTTCCCAGTTCCTAAAATCACCTTGTATAGTTTATCGATAAAGAGAGACAGATCAGAACACTTTAGACAATACGAGAAAAGTATTTGTGTAATAATCGGTATATTCCCATGTATTCGCGTACGCGTACAAATTCATGCATGTACGCTGGTAAATGCGTATTTATCTAATGGAAATGTAGATACTAGGTAATGTAATACATACACGATTAGGTGCCTTTCTTTCTTTGTTAAGTAGCGTTTAAAGTTTGTACTCTCTGCTGTTGTGTAGAATAGAAACAATGGGATGTTTGCATAGAAACGAAGTCAATTGTATTAAGCGTAAGAGTTACTAAGGTAAAGTTTATGTTGGAATTTCAGTTCCTATACGTAGCTATTCAAGTTAAGCGCACGAACGATAAGCTTCGATCTTATAAACTTTATTGAAAGGGAAGCCATGAAACCATGAAAAGAATGTGCTTGTAAAGTAGGTAGTTGGATCGAACTTGATCAGATTCGTTGGAACATCGCGTATTCGTTCTGGGAGTATGTTTGTGCAGTATTGGTAGGGTAAAAGATTGGTGCTTCGGGAGGGTTTATTTATACGTCGTAAAAAAGGTACATACTGCAAGCAGCTATAAAGAATGCCCGTGAATGATGTTCACGATGCGAGAGAAATCCATCTTTTTAGTCGTTAGTTTACACGATTCGAAATCCAGTCGATAGCGAAATAATTTTTTTAAACAATTCCAATCGATGAATCTGAATTCCATCCAGGGCATTCTCTTCGACAATGTTCAGTGATACACGTATTGCCGATAGTATAATAACATTACACATTCCGCATTGCTTGCTCGTTATTATGTTTATGTATATATTATTATGTGTTAACCTTGGTACAGGGAAATGTAAAGAAAAACGCATTTTGAGTTTTACTTAAATTTTTGTCCACTGCCCTTGACACCAGACCAGTTACAGTATTTATTTGATGGTGTTCGGTGAAGCGGCACTATCTTGTGCTAAAACTCGTAGAGAGAATTCTTACCCTCTACAAAAGTTGACGCAGAGAAAGAAAATTGTTGCCAAACAATTCTCATTAAAGGCATTTCGAAAGACTTGCTACGTGTCGAATTTCTCTGCCTTGGCTGTTTCAACATTTGCAATGATTGCATATCTGTGCTGTGTGTGCGTACGTGATAAATTGTGAGATGGCATTCGTCGCATTTCTTTCTTTTTCCTTGTCATTTCACACGAGTTGGTAAGAGAAAAACAAGAGACGGATAAAAAGTTGTAAAAATGTGATGCTTTGTGATGATATTCTAGTAAAACATTATGTACGCGCAGTACACATACATATGTATACGTATAATAAAGCTGCGTTACTGGTATTATCGATTGTGAGAAAATAAGACAACTACGCTAGTGTACAAAAAGAAGAGATATAGGGACGAGTGATCTTATCTGTGTATAAAGTGTGTAGAGCACTAAAACTAAAATTGTATCTATATACGATAATTGTATGACCATTACGCATTTAGTTTAAGTAAATAAGAAAAATATATGCGCGTACGCGCGCTCGTGTGTAACTGTATGTTGTTCGTTATTCGAAGCAACTACCAATGGTTTTATTGGCTAACACGTTTTCTGACCAAATACGAGTCATAATTCCTTACAGGGTCGAGAGCTTTCTTTATCGTTGTAATATTTATGAAACTTTTGTGTATTCAAATAATCGAACAACTCGATAATTCAGGTATTCGGCAAACATTATTCGAACGAATCCAATCCTAATTTCGATCAACTTATAAAAGGGACTGTGTCGCGTTTCATTTACGACAACAGAGTCTCTTACGCGCCATAGTACCATTTAAAAGAAACGCGAATACCCAAGTACAGACATTTAACCACGTGGATATTATTGCCAATCGTAGAGCGAAACCGGTATCAATTTGTCTGTCGCGTTGCCAATCGGTTGTATCTGGTTGTAAATAATCCATAAAGTCCAAGATCGCCCCGCACGAAAGTCTGTGATGTATCACCTGTGAAAGAGGACGATATTTAGCACGAATGACACGCAAGTATTGTGCGTTGCTAACAAGTTGGCAACTTGTTAGCAATGCACGGTACATACATAATTGGTATATGTATGTATATCTGACGAGGAGAGTTTTTCAGAATAGCCGACCTCAGCCTCGCGACCCGTGGAGCTCAGGAGTTGTATAAGTCTTCTTCTATACTGGTCGCAGGTTTTATAGTAACCGTCCGTCATTACAACTGCGTGCGCTAATGACAAGCAACACAATAAAATTGCGAGAAATACAGCGGGTATCCATTGTTTATACGGAGTTCTTCTTTTAGGCCTGACGACCACTGTTGTTTGAACATTGTTCAAGCTTCTGCGGAAAAGAGAATCGTGAAGCGATTTCCACGGCCACTCGGTGCGCGCTCTCCTGGCCAAGTACAATCTGGTATCTACAGATTCCTGAGAGGCAATGCACTAACATTCCTATGATATGCTTACCTCCTGGTGTCATCGTAGATTCGTACAGGCTCGTCCAAATTTCTATTAATACAGCATCTATATCCATGATATCCACCGAGACATAAACCGATCAAAATTATAGGAACCAAGCCGTAAACACCAAAGTGGCAGAGTTTCGCATCTCCTCCCATAAAAGTGCTAAAGGTGTTAATGCCGTATAGTATACAATCGCAGTCGATGCTGATGCAAACGTCCAGTGTCCATGCCCAATATTGCCAAACGGTTACCAGGCTAATTAACGATGTCACGGAGAAGATCGCGGATGAAACGTAGAGCAGACAGAGTATAAACTCTGCTCGCCACTCTTTCATCGCTTTCGTTCCCTTTTACGAGAAGAAAATTCCACCTGAGAACGAATACGAAATTCGAAACGATCAAATTCTAAATCATTTTATATCTCACAGTCCCTTCGATGTCTCATTGCCGATTTAAATCTAAACACGAATTGAAAAAGAGCTTGCCCTTTTAAGTGTCATCGTTTTTTCCTTCGCACAATAGTGTGAATTTTTCGTTATAAACGGAAAATTGTTCATAATTCGGGAAATATTAATTTGGATGTTTTGCATGTTTAGCAGAACTTTATTCCTTCGTTTGGCGAATATCATTCAATTAAATTTTTATTAATTTATTATTTTTGGTTTGCAGATCCAGAACCGTTTTTTCAAAACACCCTGTATGAAGGAACACGTACCGTGAAAAATGCTCCACAGCCTCGTTACACACCGTGTTGTAACAAATGGTCAGTTTCGATCAGATAAATATTTTCAATAGCTACTGTTCTCACGAGATACTATTTTTGTGATAACGATTCACCGACCGTGTATATCAACATTTTTCGATATACGTATAGAGTATGGAAATCGAATTGCTAGATGAGCCGAGAATATGTTCGACGGTAATCGATTCTTTTCCACAACAGCAAACCGTTCAATTACGAATCGCGTTAATGTTAGTTTAACAAGAAACAGGTATCTCTACGTACCACGTAAACTAAACCAGACCGGGTTAAAATGAACGATCAGCCAGCTTTAAATATTTCCAGTGCGCGTGCCTTTTGAGTAAGGATCGTATGAAAACAATCGTACAATAACAATCAAGAATTAAATATAATTATACATTGGCACATCCATCTCTATCAATTTATTCCATCAATGTATGATGGAACTATGCGCCTCATAACGAAGAAAATGATCTAATAATATAATTGCTTACCGTTATAATAAATCGTATCTCGAAGAGAAAGTACCTCTTCCTAATCGCTAACGTTTTTCAAACGATTTTCAGACATGTCTCAAGTGTATACTTTTTTTCCTAAAGTATTATTTTCCCGTTAATTCTAGAGAAACCTTGGCACACAGGGTCTCGTCTGTGCATCCGTCAATACTGCTTGCGTGTTCTTCTTGCTCAAATAAGCCGCGGATTTTCGTTAATACTCATCGATGCAATATCTACGAACGCCAAGGATCGTAGAGATTAAATATTTACACAGTAGGAATGGCTTGCCTCATATTTTTTCAATAAATATTCACGTTTCACAATACAGTTCTAACAAGCGTCAAATGATATTCGTTCGAACGTGACAAACCGGAAAATGAACAGATTATTTTCGTTTTGCTAATTCCCCTTTACATACATATACACAATTGACGAATCGAAAGTGTCATTTTTTACTTGTTGTATGCATATACATATACGTGTACGCACATACAAATAGTATGACACATTCAATGATACAAAGAAAAAATATACTTTGTACCTACAGTGCGACGAAATCCAAAACTTTGAACAATACAACAAATTTGAATAATCAATCGAGCGTTACCTTTTCTAGTTTTTCGTTGATATGTATCAGATCAAAACCTGCACGACCGATGTGAAACGTGAGAATACTTAGCAGTAGGGAGATAAACTTTGATAAGATTATCGTGCGTTACTGACACAATGGTAATCCAGGTGCTGTAAACTGTGAATTCTGTTTGTGTTAGAGATACTCACGTATAAATCTAAAACTAGAAATGAATATGAAGTAATAGTAAACTTAATCCATGTAAAAACACATATAGATACTGCTGCGCACAATTTTCTTTATTTATATTACAGACTGGCTATGCGTATTTCGATAAATTGTTTATTCTATAGTATCGTCCAAGGAGATTTTCTATGTACAAAACAAGTCGAATTTGTTGTAAATTTCTAGTAATTTGGAATCCCGCTTAGATCTCACTTTAATCTGAACAAATAACAAAATGCAACAAAGTATGTAAGAATACGAGAGAACGTGTTTCAAACTGCTCTTATTTTCTCCAATTCATCACCCAAATCGATCGAAGGAAAGATTATACTCTCCTAAAATGCATAATAAAAGCAAATTTACCAAAAGACCAAGTTTTTATCAAGTAAATATTATACTAAAGTTAAGGAGATATTTGTTTCGCAAAACAATTTTTATACAAGGGCAAAATAAAAATAACTTGTTTTATTTCTTCTATTTTGAAATGCGTACGTTTTTGGTAAAACTTTTACCCGAATGCAATTTTACCGAATACGGTTCACTAAGAAAATGCCAGAGCAGGTTTAACGTTACCCTCTGATTATGTAAACATAGAATTGTACCCTATGCTCGAAAAGAAGATATTACTCTTTCAAATTCGACCGTTTTATTTCAATGAAACGATCAAACAACAACGAATTTTTTAACTATAACTTATCCTACTGTTAAAAATTATGAAATTAATAGGATACTGTTATGTAAAAAAACGTCACTACTTATCACAAGCACTACTTGTCACATGGTAACTATTTAATTGATAAAACAAAATGATTTATACTTTATAGCAAGCTTTATCTCTGTAAAAGTAATTGCCTCTATTTCTTTTTGTATCGACCGCAGAATGTATATATTAATAAGAGTATCGTTTTAAGACTATCGATATCCATTAATTCTGTCATACTTTGATGATCTTTGATAGCGATAAAAATTTATATACAAGGTGTTCACACTATAACGTTGGTATTAAAAGACTGCTAAGCTTTATCCTCTTTCATTTTTTTTCTAGTGTTTACTACTTATGAAAAAAACGACTAGTATAGCGTCAACACCCTAAATAGATCGTTTAAACAAAAACGGCTTTAGTAGGAACACTCTGAAAATGTACAACATGGTTAGAGTTTTTGCTGGTATACACACTGTCTTATGCTGGATTAATGCCGCGATGCCTTAATTCCGATAGGGTTTCTTGATTACTCCATAAAATATATATCGATGCTAGTCCTAGTCCGATGCAACCGCCTAATGCACACTTCCTTAGACCAGCTGAAAGAATCAAATTATTACTAGCACTGTTCGGATATCTATATATATATATATGTTTAAACGATACATACTTGTGGATTTAAACAGCATGCCTGTTGCTGTTGCTGCTGCTAGAGTATTTAACGAATCATCTGTTCCTCTTGCCCAAGACAGAATTACACCGAAACCACTATACATCACAGATACTATTCCAAATGTGTTTGCCAACGAGGAACCACGTTTCATCACATGATTGATTAATCTGTAAAGAGGAAATTACATACTTTTGTGGTAATTTACTATATATTGCTGCAGCTCGTAGTATCTTTCGATCTACAAACAATAAATATAATTTAAATTACATACTGAGTTCTCCTAAGCTTGCCAGTTTGACCAGCTAACGATGTTGCTTTAATACCTCTATATAAGCCTTCTGCACCACCAATTCCAGCTCCTGTTATACACGCTGCGCCAATCTGACTGAAAGCTAATTCGAACCGACCTCTTTGTTTTGAAGCACCCTCCGGAAATATATATTCAGGTTGACTCGGAGGAAGATACGCGGGGTCAAAGTTCAAATAAGGACTAAGCGGTGCTAATCCTTGCTGAGATGTAACTGATAAACACCATAACATAAACTATTACATAATGCCATAAAGTCTGATAATAATTACTACAGAATTGTTTCAAATAATATTCTAAGAAAATTTAATTATAATATTATTTTATATAATAACTGTGTTATTATAGGTCCCACAAAATTCTTATATATATATAGTATGGATTATTGGATATTCTATCCTTAGAAAATCCAATATTATAAGAAAGTTTTGCTATTATTAATATGTATGTTACCATTCCCGTACAATATGTCATCGGAATTAGATTGTTTCAAAATAGATGAGAAACTGCCAAAAATTTCTGTGTTTACATCATTGCTGTTCGAGGACATAATTCATTGTGTAAAATATTTAACAAAACTATTACATTTGTACCATTTTCTAAATCAAAAACATGCTAAATTATCATAAATAATACCAAATAATTGTTTAATCATATGTCATTTTTTATATGCACGATAAATTCATATAAAAGTTTTCTGTCCTGTTGACAATTTTCAATTGTTTATTATTGATTAAAAACTGTTTCGTGAAATAATACTTTTATCTGTATGATTTATTATACGATTTTACAGATGCACTGATGGTAGTAACAGTGAAATATTCAATTTTCTGCAATATTAAAAATATGCTAATAGATATATAGTGGACGACAGCAGTTATGTTACAATACGAATTTAGGTTATATTTTCATGTCGATTTAATCATATTTCATTAGTGGCATGTTGAATGATATAAATTTTCTATAAAAGACTACCCAATGGAACACAGACATTATATAATAATAATACTTAAATTATTAATGAACATATATCGAGAACCGACAGTCAAAAATAACGTGGTCTTACAATACCAAATGTATCAATAAATTTTAACTTACCTGGTATATTTAAATTACCGTATTTTTTATTATTTGACGCATTGTTTGCACCCTCATCGCGTAAATCTATCATTTTCGACGTCCACTCGGTCAAATTTTATCTTCCTTGATTACTTTTATAATAAATACTTGCAACGGACACGCTCATTCATACGCTTATTTCCAAAAATTGATTAAGATCAAGCACCCTGAACATGTTGAGGATACGAATTTACTTTAGCACGTTTTAGTTTACATCGCCGCCACTTTAGCATCGGTAACTGTAACCAAAAATACAGCGACTCGACAAACTTGGCTCATAATATGAAATCGCGTTACTCTATGTTACTGTTACGTAGAATTAAAAGTGCATAAAGTAAATAAAATGAAAAAAATGCAATTTTTACTAGTAATAGGTGAGTTTATAGTAAAAGTACCTATTATTTTTCCGAATGCAATTCCACTATTCCGTGTGTACGATTCCAACGTAAGAAAAGTCAAGAAAAAATTTTGCAAATCTATTTATGGTGCAATAACGCATAGGAAACATGTTTGGGTGTAATGCTGCAAATTTAATATTATCTGCAGTTTCTTTTTAGAACAACAGTTACCGAATAAATAACAAATCTCCTTATAGAAACTGATTATTTTGTCAAGTATTTGCGTTAGACAAAAATTTGAAATAATTTTTCAAAATACATATACAATACATCTTGTTTTCAGTTTTATTTCTGCCGACTGGAAAGATATGTTTTAACGTGTTGCGGGAAGTCGCGTTGTATGTAAGTAAAATACGTAATAAAGTAAGAATTAGTAATATTTACTGCATAAGACGGCATAAATGTTCAGTACTTACATGAAAGCACATGCATTTGTGATGAACATGTTGAGATTTACGTTCGCGGCGCGAAACAAAAATTCATTTTTCTGTTCCAGTATACATATATTATTTTCGTACTGTATGTGCACATGGAAATTTTTTCGAAATAACAGAATAACAACAGCAATACAAGTTGAGCGAATACGCGAAGCGAATATCGATCTCCTTTCCTGTTCTTGAAACTTTCATATCGTATCGATGTCATCTACTAACTCAAAAAGTGGAGGGGAAAAGAGCTTTAAAGACAAAAGCGACCTCTGTTGTTGCAACGGCCGTGCATCAAACTATGCGTTGCATTGCTGTCGAAAATGGCGTCGGGCTCGGAGCTGCCAGAATATTCGTCCCCAGCAAAACGACGAAAAGTCGACGGCAACGGTTACATCGGTACCAGCACCACGAAACCTGATTTCCAAGATTGTGAGACGTCGCATGATACTCGGAACGAAGATCTCGAAGGTATTTTAACAAAAATATGGTCAATTCATGAATGAAATTTGCAAGATTGCAAGATGGCGGTTAAGAAGGCGTCCACTCGCCTTCCGTGATCGTATCATTTGTTCGTAGTCGACGCGGAACTAGAGCCGCCATGACAGTTTCTATGTAAGTACGTCGTAAATTTCGTTTCGCGCGATTCATTTTTATTTCGATCAAGTTTATGGTTGCGACGTTATTGAAATTTGATTCGTGACACGTAATAAAATTATTCGTTAATTGATTACTATTGAAATGTTCTACCGATTTATTCTTATTCAAAAAGAATTGTCTAATTGAAAACTGGTATAATGAAAATAGAAAAACTATTGACAGCGCAATATGAAGTTGTGCGCTACGTTCAATGGACGCTCACAGATGGCACGATTTTCACTGCGTTAAGAGAGTAGGTGTTTTGACACGATTAATGTCGTCCCGCCACTTTTGAAAATTTGAAAATCGATGTCACGCAATGAGATTATTTTAGTATGCAATATTTACAAGACAAATATAGTTATCCGGATTACTTTTTCATTTAACAAAACTAAAAAAATGCTACAGATTATTTGGACGAAACGAAATTAATATATAAGCGTTGTTTTTTATTTTTCTTTTTATAATAATAAATAGCCGTTCGGCCTATTGTTATTTGCCGAACGAGAAATTTAAATGAATATCGAATGGTATTGCAGAAACATATGGAGGAGATAGCGGATTCAATGAATTGAGCGACGAATCCAAATCGACTTCAGTTTCTCCAGATGCTACAAACTTGACAACAACTCCATCTAGAATTGATTCCACCGGCGATGACACTGGTTGTCCGTAAGTTTTTCTTATCTTTTTTAATCTATTTCAATCATTTGTGCTGGTACCAAGTCATAAATATGTACGACTAAAGTGTACACAGTAATTGGAAGCAGGCTATATCTTGACATTATAAGTTTTGGCAGAGTCAAACAACATCATCGACACATACTGTTTCAGAATCGATATTGCAGATGAAAAAGACGAAGTGTCGTCAACAGTTTCAAATTTATCCGATTTATCTGGACTATCTGACTTTTCTGGCGAAGGAGAGGTCAATCATCAATGGAGAAATGCATCTTCATGGGTTCAAAAGCAAATGTTGATAGGTGCTGATCCTCGAGATCTCCTGCATCATCTCCTTATGGATTCTACTCAGATTCCAGAGCAGGTCGACGACTTGACTCTTTGGAAGGTGCGAGCGAACAAACTGTATTCATTTTATACCGTAATATATTTTTTGTTTCTTTGAATACTTATCAAGCGTTTTGTATATACATATTTCAGATTATAGTAAATGTGATGTCTGAACCACCGCGTCGTCAGAAGTTGAGGCATATAAATACTTTGTCGGATGTAGTCAGATTAATACGTAATAGTAAAAGAATTATAGTCTTAACCGGAGCGGGTGTAAGTGTCAGTTGTGGCATACCAGACTTCAGAAGTAGAGACGGTATCTACTCCAGACTGGCTCAGGATTTTCCAGATTTACCCGATCCACAGGTACAGCGAGTAAAACGTTTCAGTTTAATGTTTAAATTATCATTTATTTCCAAATCTCTTTTTAGATTGTTGGAAATAATTTTGATTCTCGTCTTCCTTCTTTCAGGCTATGTTCGATATTAATTACTTTGGTCAAGATCCAAGACCGTTTTATAAATTCGCGCGAGAAATTTATCCTGGACAGTTCAAACCCAGTCCTTGCCACAGGTTTATTAAAATGCTCGATAAACAGAAGAAGCTTCTAAGAAATTATTCGCAAAACATCGATACGCTTGAACAAGTAGCGGGCATTGAAAATGTGATCGAATGTCATGGTGAGTATACGCGTATAAAACGGATCTTATTCAAAATTTATGAAATCTTCCCCCCATAGCTTCTAATTCTGCATATTCGTAAATTTATACGATCATTGCCAATTTTTATTATCGATGATTTTTCTCCAAGTCCATAGATGGCGGGGCAAGAGTGGTGAAAGTACTACCCGACGAAACTAAAAATACACATGTCGTTTTAACGGTTAAAGATATTTTAATGAGATTTTCGTTAGGGATATTAAAAAAATCACTGCTTTCTAGATAATACTTGGTTTCTATAGGCCGTCGTTCGTTATTATACACGACTCGTAACAAAACAAAAGAAAAATTCATATCGATCGTTACAAAAAAAAAAAAATTACTTTCTGCCGGAATTGTAACTTTAAATTTACAAAGTCTGCAGGTCACGCAATCTATCATGAGAAAGATTGCAATAGACATTACAGCAAATGCTGACGAATGTATTAAATCATGTTGCCGTAATGGTGTGAAAACTGTGCTCGTGTACTTACTAGCTCTTTTGTGGGTATTTTGGATAACTGTACATCTGGAAAAATTTTTAATTACCTGTTTTCTTACACAAAATCCATTGCAGAAAATTTCAGACGAAGAAGATGTCTAGTAGAAATGCATGTAAGTACTATTATCCCATAAAGCGATAACCTGAAGATATTTATGGTTTCAGAACTATTAAATGCATGATTTATAAATCTCATAGGTACTGTAGTACAGTGGGTGAAACAAAGTCGCCAACTGTGTCATAAATCAAGACGTCTTCCGAAAAATAAAGGGTCTTGATCGCTGTTAGAGTTGGTGACTTTCTTCTAAATATGGCAAGAATCTGTTTAACCCATCGTATAAAATAAACTAATTAAGACTGGTTGTAATATTATTCTTATTCCGAGTCAACTTTATTATCGCGAGCGTAAAATACAGTGTGAATTAAACTCTATAACTCGTAAATAAAATATTTCATCATTGTCTGACTTGTGTCGTCCAAAACAGTATTGAACATGGTATAATTGAAATAAATTTTCATAAAAATGGAATATATTTGCTATAAAAATTAATATAAATTTCTTCTGGTTGGATGAATAAAAAAAAAACTAATATAAGTAATGTAAAGTAATGGTAATTTGTATAAATTAAATAGGGTAGTACATTAGAAAAAGATCACTTGTATAATTAGTAAATAAAAAAGAATGTTTAAGGCAAAAGTTTTAATTTCATGAGAGATATTACCCAGATGACCTGTTTAAAATACTTGATCATATTTTATATTATTCGACGGTAGTGATTTTTTTCGTGCAAGTATCATTAAAATATCTTGAATTGTTCCGGAAATGTTCGCGCACACGCGACCACACGCACGCACGCACACACACGCACACGCCTCTTCCCCTTTCGTTGCTCTTACTACTTATAGATTTAGAGGAAACTTTACAACGGGAATTGATAATAATTTCATCGATATGCAAATTTTGAAGTAAATTTATGAGGGTGAAGGTTCATCGATTCTGAATAAGGTTCTTTGTTTTTTTAATTTGGAACCGTATTCAAACTACAGACGTTCTATGTATCTGTTACACAAATCTGTTTTATGTTGAAGGCTCCTTTGCCACTGCATCGTGCACGAGGTGTAAATATCAAGTGAAAGCCGACGATATCAGGGAAGACATTTTCGCTCAAAGGATACCATTGTGTCCAAAATGCAGAGTTAACATTTTGCCACCTATATCGGAGATTAATCCTAATGAAAGTTACAGAGGTAATTATAAATATTATATTTGCGTACTGTTTGCTCATGCTGTGGTCATTTTATTATAGTTTTTTCAATAATATCTTGTCAATTTTTTATGCTATGGAACATTAGCTACCTAGTGATAGTTTTTGCTATTAGTCTTTCCTATAGCGCGTCGCGAGTCGGTGGCCATGTGAGAACATTATCTACTCTTTGCGGAATACGTCTTCGCTAAATGATGTTGCCATTTACTCTGATCTACGCATAAGTTGATACATCAATCGTAACTACGAGTAAAACCTTGGCTTGTTTATAAGCATATAAGGTAAACTTTTAAAAGTTGCATCATGTTACCCGTGCGTGCTGTTTAGCCAGATTTGCGGGGTATAGTTTACGACTCGCCGTTCAGACATTTGCAAAATTAATAGAACATGATGTGTTTGCGATCGAGTAAAACAGAAAGCGCAATCTGCTACGGCCAACGGCGAAACGTAGCTAAATAGAAGTTTTCATGGGGAATTTTTCTAATTTACAGATTTGGTGACGCAGGGCATAATGAAACCAGATATCGTTTTCTTTGGGGAAGGACTTCCGGATGCTTTTCACGATGCGATGTCAAAAGACAAAGATGACTGTGACCTTTTAATCGTGATCGGATCATCGTTGAAAGTCCGGCCGGTAGCATTAATTCCTTCCTCTATTCCGTCTCATGTTCCACAAATTCTAATTAATCGCGAATCGTTACCGCATCTAAAGTTTGACGTTGAACTGTTGGGAGATGGTGACATTGTTATAAATCAATTGTGTCAGTTGTAAGTAACAAGTTCTCCTATTTTTTATTATTTATTTACTTGTCTTATTTTTTTAATTAATTCCGTAAAAAATACCTAAATCAATTCTCTCTATGTATATCTATCAGACTGTCGTGTCCTATTCAGGAAAGCAGAAAGAATGAGATGTTACGTGGATTGTTACATTTCTATATTTAATTATTTACAGAATGGGGGACAACTATAAGGAAGTATGTTGGAACGACATGATTCTTAAAGAAGCAACGCAACTTCTACCGATACGTTATTTGTCGGATGATACTTGGGAGCAAAGTCAAGACACAACAACGAATACCGTGTTAACACGAGACAGTGTTGAAACTGATTTCAAACCACACGACTCGTGCTCTGTTGAAAGTCAAGACAGTCTTATGGTTAACAACGGTAGTGGTGTCCAACAACGCGCTGAGTGTATAAACGTGTGCATTTCACCCTACCGCAACGATCATCATGTTAATAATACAGATGAGAGGTTCAGTCTCTTGGGAGACAGTCCGAAGAGAAGATTGGGCGAGTCGAGTGCTGAAAGCAGTCCGAAAAGAATGAACTTTGGTAGCAGTTCTACATTAGACTTTAACTCATCCTCTTCGATAACCGAGACCTCCGATTGCTCGACCGATTACAAAATTCATGTTGTGTCGGTGGAATCTACCTCAAAAAACAATGGAAAAGTTTATAATTTAGAGGAGTGTCAAGTATTTCCAAGAATAATCGAATTTTCCTCGGAAAGTACGATTTTAGATTCTACGTTGAAATCGAATCGTTGTATGGAAAATACGGTAGTGTCCGACATGAGCGACGATCGTACAACAGTAGCCACCACTGGAATTGATAAAATTAATTTTAAACCAAGGCAAGCGTCTATCGATTCTGCGTTGGATTCTGGAATAGGAGATAGTTGTAACAGCGTCGATAGTCGAGAGGGGAAAAACGACAAAGACGAATTAAAAAATGGGAGACTAGAAAGACACTGTTGGCAGACTAAAGTACGAGAAAGCATTGCTACGAGATTGCCAGGTAAGTACAATATTTCTTTAATGCTTCTTCTTTAAAAATATATCATTTTTCTTTGGGGTTAAAAGTACCCAATACTTGTTATACGTATAATTACTTCTCATCGTTTTTTAATTGCAATTATTTCCCAACAGAAAACTCGTACTACCAACTAACACCTGGAAAGTATATTTTCCCTGGTGCAGAAATATATTCAGATCCCGAGGATTACGATCAATGTTCCCTTTCAATAAATTCTGAAAGTTCAGAGAGCGACAGCGATTCTTCGTCTGCGGTGGAAGAAGAAGAGGAAGAGGAGGAGGAGGAGGAGGAGGAGGAAGAGGAGGAGGAGGAGGAGGAGGAGGAGGAGGAGGAGGAGGAGGAGGAGGAGGAGGAGGAGGAGGAGGAGGAGGAGGAGGAGGAGGAGGAGGAGGAGGAGGAGGAGGAAGAAGAAGATGAGGAAGACGAGGACGACGAAGAGGAGGTTGAACAGCAAAGTGAAATAAATAAAAATGATAAGCTAGAAGAAACAAGTAGGTCTCAAAATAAAAACGTTTGTTGCTAAATTGAAAAAACGTGACTTTATTGTTAAATTAAAATACGTACAGGCCAGGGTAAGAAGTTGTTTCAAAGTACGAGCGTCAAAGCTGATACCAATATCGATGGCGAAGAGATTAAGTGGACAACAAGTAGTATTTACAGTGGTGTATAAGGTTAATGGAAAACTGCATTTAAGAAGTGACAACATTGATTTTTGTTACTCTGAATCCAAGTTGGAAGTTGGATGAAAGAAACGACAAATAGTTGGAAAAGAGTGCAATTCTTACCAGTTAACACGCGTGTAAACACGCCTCGCGCAAAGGTACGGATGTTTGCTTTCCCATAGGGCTTATGCTTTTTTAATGGGATCTGTTTATGAAGGAATAGAAGGAAGTTGTTAAACAATTTCTCGAGTAAGCAACGCGTTTTGTTACAAAGCACAAGACATTCAAACTTACTATGATTTTCTGTTTCGTAGCAACAGTAGAAGTAACGTTGATTTAAACTTTTTATCAAATTTAAAATATATCTTTAAGAAAGATGCTTCTAGATGTGAAAATGTGTCGTTGTAAACGAAGCAATAAGTTCTGTATCTTCTAATTTATACATTTTTAGAATGCACAAATTGAGTAGTATTTTCATCGATGTTATCGATTCGCGTAGTTGAATACAAGTACTTTCGAGATACGTATCGGTTGGTAGAAGCCCCGGCGAATAACGCGGAAACATTAAAATTCGTTCTGCTTCGTAAATCTACTTTACGAACTGTCGGGATGGTTTTAAGTAAACGTCTATTGATTTGAGAAATTGTTTCCCTGTGAAAGTGTCCAAAGAGTAATAATTTACCCAAAATTTGCAAGAATGCATTTCAAAAGAGATATTTGATATGTCTAGCAAATTAACGTTATTAAAAAAGAAGCATTCGTTATGAGATAGTGATGTAATATATCTTTAGCTTCGACAGGCTCGTAATGGATCGAATGCAATTAAAACCGAACCATGACTTCTATTCGCGTACCATATGATGGCCATCTTTTCGTTCATCTATTATTAGAAACTAATCTAGTGTTTTATGAACGAACATTTACATGAGACGACGGTGCCCTCCCTATTCGTTCGTTCATAATAAAGAAACAACGTTCAAAAAAACAAACAAAAAAACACAAAAAAAAATACAAAAAAAAAACAAAAATTAATTTTATCATAAATTGTAAATACTCTATCGGGAGAAGTAGATTAGTTATTCAGAATATCGTGCAATTGTAGAAAATCAAGAAATTTAGAAATATTAGTACTTTCGAAGAAAACGCATATAAATTGCGCAAAAAATCGAATACACAACAAAATGACGAATGTTCTCGCGGGTGTAATAAACGGTCGTGAAAAGTGATTTTTTCTCAATTCGGAATATTTTCCAGATTTGTTCGTCAATGCGCACGCGCATGTAATGTTGATTTTTTATAGAAAAGAAAAAATCAAGCATTTAACGAATCGTCCCGAAAGAAAGTAACGGTAAACGAGTTTAATATTTCTCTTGTAGTAGAAGGAAAATGTAAAAAAATGAAAAATTGCAAGATTAATTAGTATTGATTTCAATGCTATAGTACAACTTGTCCTGATCGTTGTCGCTCTTACTTGTACTACTATAACTAAATACTACAACTGTCGTTAGTCCTTTCACTGTTACATCTACTGCTACAAAATCACTTCTTACTTATTAATAATTATTTATGTTTTTGTAAATTATTGCCTAAGTTGGAAGGTAAAAGAGAATCCTAGATAATCGAGAATCATGTATTTTTAAGTAGTTTATTTGATAACGTAAGAAGAGATGAATAGAAAGTGTTAATTCTGTCACGATACTTGTTAAAAGTATATCGTTGCGTTCAGAGCAGCATTGAACGAACGAACGTAGATGTAAGTACGTACTACGACGATGTATACGTGTAAATCGTATTTTCAAGAATACGAGAACAGGTGCTTGCTCTGTGTATCAAAAAACGAATTCTTATTAGGAGTGAAATATTTCGATCACAGTGACAGATGTCGACGAAGATGAGAAACAATCTAGATGTAGTTTTAAGTTTTAGCAATAGATTTCAGTACCCCGGGGCAGAATTAGTCGCAATGGTTTCGCACTGAATGTTTTTTTTTTTAGATTCGGTTTCTTTTTATTGGAGCACGGGCGAATGTACAAAGCAATGTTGGATAGCTTGGCATTGCGTGTTATTTTTATATGAACGAGAGAAGGTAGAATAGTAAACGTAAACAGGATTAAACGCAAGAAACCAGGAAAATGCGACGATATATTCGAGAAATCGCGTGGCGAATATAACCCGCGATCACGCGTCTCGAAGCTTATTGTCGTGAATATTTCTAAGGAACGAAACGGTTGTGTGAAAATTTATTATAATTACTAGCATGATAATTATTTACTACACCTTGTGTGTAATGTCTGAAACGCGCGCGTCGACGCGACGTGTAGGTCCGTGCACATGTACATACCATATGTATGCATATGCATAAACGATAAACGTGAATAAATGGCGCAGCGAAACGAACGAGATTATCAGAGACCGCCACAGAATAACTAAACGTTTCTGATATGTGTATATAAACATACATACATACATACATACATACATACATATATATTTCCAATACATGGCATGAAGCTTTATTTTCTATTAGCAGGCCATGTAAAAGAAAAAGTAACGGAGGAACAATGAGAAAATTGAACTCGGTTAAAACGTCCTGAACGATTAAAGAGAGAGAAAGAACGATGAGGACTCGCTAGAGGCTTGAAGAGAATAAATAAAATCAGTAATTTGGTTCCTCGCGGATACAAGTCAGTTTTATAAGATTTAGAAAGTTTATCTTCTGCTATTGTACAAATGGCTTTATTTATCATTGTTTGCAAATCGATACGCAAGTGGTACGGATTAGAATTTATTTTTTAAAGCCTCCATTCTGTGTTTATTTATTTGAGGTCTATATAGATAACTAATAAATAGATAGATAGGTAAATAGATACATAGATAGATAGATAGATAGATAGATAGATAGATATGCGAATGAGAGAATAAAGGAATGAATGAACGAATATAAGATATGCATACTATACGTACATAGGTGTCGTATATTACACGCGTGTATGCATATGTGCAAATATCCGCGTGCCCAAATATACATATATACATATACATATATGAATACATGAATATAAAACTATGTACGTATATATATATATATATATATATATTTGAATGTATGTATACATGTAAAATGTATAAAAAGTTGGTTTTAATTGGCTTTTAAAAATTATTCAAAATATTTCTCTCTCTCTCTTTCTCTCTTTCTCTCTTTCTCGCTGTTGATCGACTAGACGCACGAAGAGAAGTTGCGTTATGTACATATTTTTTTGTCGAGTATACGATACTATTGGATTTATATTGCAAAATCTATTCTGAATTCTATTTAAGCATTTACTTATTTTCTCGGTTACTTAACAGATAGTATTAATTAAAAAGTGCTTTAAATTGTATTTGCTCCTTGTTTAGGTGGTGTTAAATTGATATACATATGTAGACATACAAGTTTTATAATAACGCTATTATTTTCTACAGCCAGTGCGTAGTTTATCGTGCGCACAGTCGATTCAGAGAGAAGCATTAACTTGCAAAGATTTGACAATCATGCCAACTTTTTTTCCACAGTACTGACTTTTTGTATAAATGCGTCACATGTAAATATTTATTACTTTTACTTGTATAATGAATCGTAAATTTCTATCGTTTCGGCTGAACAGTGAAGAACTTTCAATGTCCCGTTCTCCTCTTTTTTTCCTTTGCGCTTCAAGATAAACGCGTCTCTTTGCATATCGCTTAGGCGTCAACCAAAATACACGATTTAACGATTATCAGAACGGAAGATCTTTTCATCGTTTAGCCGACACGAAAGAACGAGGTGCAGAAGCTCTTAATTTTTTTTATAATTTGTTATTTAATGTAATGAATGTTATAAAAATGTTCTCTATTTCAGACGTTATAAGTTTTCTGTTTCTTTGGTATTATTAATGTGTAAGTTTATCTCCTAAATTAAACATTTTCTATGATAACAATCTTTTCGTAATACGTTTTTTCTTATCCCCTTACGGAATCCAAATATCGTTGTGACTTGCAATCATTTTACAATTTTCCTGTTACCCTGGTTCCAGAAAATAAACGTAATTTCAACGTTGAACATAGCAATGAAGAATCGCGTTCTTTGTCAAGCACCGATTAAGGAACATTAGAATAACAAATGCAACAATTGTGTTTATTTATTTATTCATTTATTTGCTTTATTGTTGTATGTCATATAATAGTTTTGTGTTGTATATCGGAATTATCATAAATCAAATTTGAAAATAGGCTTTAAATTATAACAACGTATCTTAGAGAATAATTGAAGCGCTCCCTGGAATAATAGATCAAAAGCTCTAGTACAATTTCCACGAGCTTCATCGAAACTTACGCGTAGGGGACCGTTTCAATTACAGTATCGTCGCTATGTGTATTGAACACTTGTTGAAATCCCCGCCAAGAAAGATTTTCAAATGTCCAATCGAAATGAACATTTCTTATGTATGTATATCGAGTGTTTATCTAGAATATTTAGTATATCGTACTAGTCCAGCCGAAACAGCAGGTGACGTTTTCTATTTACCTTCCATTTCCTATAATTACGTCTTGTGTAATAATAACCATAATATAATAATAAACATTATTACCACCACAGCAATAATAGTATTATAATAGCACTGTTGCTAGGGACGCACGGAGTTATATTTACGTGTCGGCGGCCCACTACCTGTTTAACAATGAACAATATTCATTGATTCGAATAGGATTCGGTATACATAATATTTAATGTATTATTAGTACAGCGCGTGTTAATTCGTGCCAACATTTTTCTTTTTCTATTCATTTTTGTTTTCACGCCCCTTCGTGTGTAAGATCATAATTGAATCATGTTCAAAGCCTGGTCGTGTTTATTTCATCCGAGTAGCATGTGCTCTCGTGTATAATAAGTGTTTCAAAACTTCTTTCCTCTTTCTATGCGTTTCTGTTTCCTCCCCCCACCCACCCCCACACCCCCACCCGCGCCGATAGCAAGGAGTATTTGCGTCTTTTGCGTTCGGTGAATTCGTGATTGCTCGCGTCGAAGACCGTGCGATAACCAACATGTTCGATATTTAAACGAAAGACGAAACAAGAAATAGGAGGACGCCAGAAGCGAGAAAGAGCAGTCGCGAAATTGTTGCGCGTCTCATTGGGCAGAAAGAGAATTTCATGCACGGTTGTCGCAATCGAGTTTTCACGAATCGTATACGACGTTTTTCCCCCATGTTCCAATGAATCATCGCCAACATAGAAAACGTCGACGATCTGCTTTAATTGATCTTGGAACTGGAGAGCTAGTACTCTCGCGACACGAAACGTAGAAATATTTTATGGGAGAGAAAACGATGCGCGGCAATGCGAAGGAGTTGGCGAGAGGTTTCCAAGGTCTCGACGTTTTCCCAAGTCCTTTTTCTTTTCCTTTTTTTTTGAAATCTCCTTTGACCCTCCGCCGTTCATCGATGCACAAAAGTTGTTCTTTCCGTTACGACGATCATATACATATTTTTATTTTTTTAGTTTATCATTACGTACTATTTAGATGACACAGCATGTATGTAACACTCGGGTGGTTACGATCGAAGCCTTTGTGTATCTATTTGCGTACGTAATTAAAACGAAGCTTTTTAATTCGATACATGAAATTCGAGGAGTAAAACCAAGGATGCAAGGTTCTAATTTGAGTGAACTACTACTAAGGGTGAAGCCAAAGCCGACGTAGTATCGTATGCGTATCTGAATTTATTATCACGAATGTCTATAGCAAATACCGTAAGATTTGAATTCTCGTAAATGGGGCAAATCGAACCGGCAACGATTAAGATAGGAAGAAGTCTGACACAAACTGTAGTCGTTTCGTAAGTCAAATATGATATCCGCCTACTTCGAGTTACAATCCTGTAGTACACAGAAGCAGCGTATGCCCGAAGGAAAATCGAAGATGAACAATAATGATTAAAATTTCTTTGTTTCGTTTCGGTTTCGCGGCCTCTGTTTTTCTCTTTTTTTTTTTTCTCTTTTTTTAACTCTTTTCGTGCCGTGTACCATAATTATTTCGATTGCATAATTATACTAGATAATAGCAATAAGTTGTAGTAAAGATTCACCGTCTTATCACCTAGCATGACAAATAATATCGTGTTTCAATGGATATAATTAGGGTAGTAATGTAATTTAAGTGCCTAGAAACAACGCTTCGTATTCCAGTTCCATCTATTCACTACTTTGAGTTTCAGGTTCTATTTCGTATCGCCCAGGTAAGGAAACGAAATTTGTTGCCTTCGCAAATTTCTTCCTTTTTAATGGGTCCATTTATTCCATGCCTGCAAATCAAATGGTTAAATACTTTGCGTGAATATTTTTCTGAATCAAGGGGCTAGTGGGGTTAGTGGGGTTAGTGGGGTTGGTGGGGCTAGTGGGGCTAGTGGGGCTAGTGGGGCTAGTGGGGCTAGTGGGGCTAGTGGGGCTTAGTGGGGCTGAAAGGAAGAAGACGAGGTGGCGGAAAGCAAAATATACAACATTTTTGGTAATTGTTTACCATGTTAACGACCTCACTGATTTCAGTAATTCTGAAATATATTTAAAGGGATAGATTCACGAGTGTTCGAGAGTGAAAAATAATAGCCGATCAAGCTTATTTTTCAATATATAATTATCTGAAATTAACTTGAGAATAAATTGTGAGGTAAAAGTACCAGTAATTGACCATGTACTATAATAGTTGACACTTCCAGAAAGAGGCTGAAAATAGTAGCCTCAACGGTCATATTCGTAATAGAATAGCATCATTGGGACTGCCGCGGTGGTATCTGCAATCGATACTATGTCACTGTTTCAGAACAATTACAATACAGTGGACAAAATTTCTATAAAGACACCATGATTTATTGCCAAAAGTTCACTTATTCTGTAAATATGTGTTAACAGCGTGCGAAAACCTTATAAAAACATTGCGCAGTATCATTACCACGAAACAGTGCAGTGTAAATAAACTTGCACATTTTTACTTTAGAAACAGAACAACACCATTAAAATGCTGACGATTTTAAAAAATTCTATTTGTTAATTATTTCTTAGCACTTCTTTAATATCATTATGAAATTTATTGTCATGTTTATTGAAAATAGTAATGGTCTTGTAGTAATTTCATCCACTATATACGCAGTAACAGTGGTTATAGCGAAACAAGTAATTATTTTAAATGTCAACAGTTTGTTAAAGAATATAGTATGTCTCATTGTCATATAAGAACAAAAGCTAACAAACATAGAAATGTCTTTCCTCTTATTGAGTTAAACTTTCTAAAGATTTCCTTAAAAATGCTTAATTATATCTTTAATCGTATCTATCGAACTTACTTTCTTGTTTTGAAAGTATTAATGTCGTTTACAGTTTTATTTGTTGAACTAAATTTTGTAATGCTTTCAATATCCTTTACTTTTTTTTACATCTTTCCTATAACAATGCACGAGATCAATTGTTAACTCAAAAAGAGGTCAAGTACTTGAATTTTCAATGTCAACAGGTGTGATTGATTATAACTACTGAAACACCTTAAGAGTTCCCGCAGAAAATTCAATATAAATATGTATCACACATCTAGTAAGTTCTAAACTTATAAGATGATAAAGGTACAGTTGGCACGTGGTTCTATAAATTTGGTGTGATCATTCCATAAGAACTAAAAAAGATATATAAGTTTTTGTGACATTATTCACTTAAATGGTCAACTAACTGGTACACTTACCTTAATTATATTTTATTTTATTTTCCTCTTATCTTCTAATGCCTATAATTTCAAAACTAGGTGTAGGCGATCTTTAATCATGGGTTGAGGATATTCAGTGACATTTTCCTTCCAACATACTTCAAGGTCATTGAAAGTGGTGAGGTCGTTAATATGGTAAATAATTACCAACTTTTCGACTAACCCAATAATCGGGCCAAACAGCGTAATGTAGACACTTTAAATATTTAAAAATGTAAAACAGATATAGATTCTGCATAAACACATCGTACGATTCCCTTCTTACTTTATGTGTACAACTTACCGGATGTTGTTTATCTTGTACACCATCTGGTATTCCCCATGCTGGTGGATCCATTTTGTTCTGTTCGTTTGGAGGGATTTCCGTTAACGTAGGCGTTCCAAATTGTCCTGGTAATAACGTTAATCCTGGCATTAGTGACAGAGCTGCAGCATTTCCATTCGGGAACGGCTGTTGTTGAGTATCCACGTGACCCTAAGGCGAACACAATTATCAATATATGTTTGAACATAGAAATAGATTCACAACAAGGAACACCTTTGGATTAGCGATTTCACAACTGAAATCCGTATGTATTGTGTTTCTCTAAATTGTTAAAATCGTCGAATTGTATTCGATGCCATTTACTATTTACAATACGTGCTGATGCATTTTTGGTAAACATATAAAAATCACATACAGCACCACACAAATATCATACGTACGATACTACAAATACAAGCGTGTGCACGTAATGGATAGTTTTATTAGAGTGTCTCAGAAAATATTACATATTTTAGACACTATGCTACCTGGCTATTTTTAAACCGCCTATTCAAACGTAGTACATGTATTAATACATCGTTAAGAAACTTTTTTTGTGCTCATTACGAAAATATTGTATTCATTTTGTTTATATTTAAAATAAGCTATAAAAAAATAAAAATTTCTATGTTTCTGCACCATTATTAGAAACAAAATTATAATTCTTCGTCTATATGTATAGTTTGGATTTTTCTCTGAGCGAGAAATGATTCAACATTGATGACAGCATGAAACGTGAATGCGTGTAATTTTTTGCATTGAAACAACAATCAATATATCGTAGGAAATGCAATTGCTTTCAAAAAGATGGCAGAAGCCATATAGATCATCGTGCTTTAAATCACGTTACGTTGCAATTATCACTTAAGGGTTTCGAATGCACAATATTTTTGGAACATCCTAACTCATCATTTACGCAATAGCTATTTGTTCACGAGTCTCGAATAAATTGTTATCCAGATGAAATTCTATTCTTATGTAGAAAAGATGTGCCCATCTCTGCTAGATAAGTTTTCAGCCTCGAATTTCTAGAAGTTGAAATCGACGTGAGAATCGACACGTTATAGATTTGTGATGTCAAGTAGAAATCTAGACGAGGAAATGTTGACAAAGTAGAAACTAATAAAGCGATAAGAATATACCTGAAAGGAGGATTCCATCATCTGATGGAGTTCTGCGTCAACGTTGGATATACGATTGTAAGCTGCGTTAGAGCGAAACACTTGATGCCTATCGATTCCTGGCGCCAAGCTCGCCCAAGATCCAACGAGCTTTTCATTGTTCAGCATCCAGTTGATAGAATCGGCATCGCCGCCGGGTCCCATGCCCGCCGTTGCGTAATTCTTCCACGCTCTCTCTGTACCAATTGGTCGCGGTACTTTGCGATCCTCTATTTTCAGCTGATTCATTTCTTGAGCTACCTGCGCCGGAGAAGACGGTGATATTGCCGGTGAACCACCATTCTCCAAGCTCGTGATCAAATCGATGCTTCCAGATTGTGCGGTTATATTCGCCAAATGGTTAGTGAAGCCTATCTGGCCCATCATCGGATCCTGATGAGGTGGATAATTATTGTGCGGCGGTGCAAACGGCCAACGCGTTTGTCCATTAGTAGAGATTCCAGTATTCGGTGTGGCTCGAGATGGTGCTTGATACTTTCCTAGGGGAAAGTTTCCGAGCATTGCTAAATTATTTGATTGAATCGCAGACGGAGGTGGTGGCGGTACCGTTGCAAACATATTCGGATGTATTCCGGCCGCTGAGCCAGCATTGAACATCGTCACCTGCGGTTTGCTATTCAAATGCAGCGAACTAGAGAAATCCGGTGCCCTGGGATTTAACCTCGACATACTGACGGTGGTATTTACAGAAGCAGACGGTGCCGCTATTGTTTGCGTGAAATTTTGCATATGAGGATGGAAAGGCAAAAGAGGGTGGCCCTGCCCTTCGTTCGGTACCATCTTCAGTAAACTCGAATTTACGTTTGCGTGCTCGTAACTGACATTGTTCGCCTTGAACAAACCCACATCCAACGTTGGTTGCGACGTCGAGGATATAACGTGGGGTTGATGCGTCGTAGTGTTACGCGACGTCAGCTCGCCTTGAAATACTGGTCTACTGAATTGCGCACCCATCGCTGCCCCCATTTCCATACTCTGCTGAGGCATTACTGGCCGCGCCACAGCCAAACTACCGGGTGGCTTGTTCGAAAGAGAATGGTCGTTATAATTTCCAGATGACTGAAACTGAGGCGGTTGAATGGGACTGTGCCCCGTGTTCGACGATGTGCTGCTTCCTATGCTGGTTGCAATGGTGTTTGTGCTATTATTCGATTTGCTTGAAACTGGAGAGCACATTGTTGTTCCTCGGTATCCGGGAGCTTTCGATGCGTCCACCTGTGTATGCAAACAGATAAAAAGTTTGATAAAACGAGGCTGATAAATAAACAGGTACAATAAGTCGTATTCGGATGGCATAGTTCTTCCGTGACACATTATTGCTTTGTACACAAGGTGAGAAAGCACTTTGTTATGCGTTCTACGAACAATTATTACATAGGATATTCATTTGAAAACTTTATATCTAAATATCTCAATCTAAGTTTCAAGGAGAAAATATAACTGTCCTGTTTACTTTTTATTTCTTCTTTTCTTTTCTTTGTTTGAAGGTTAACTTTATTATTTTTTTTTTTAATAAAAATCTATATTTCTATTTACAAATTCTTATTCTACAGGGAAAAAGAAGAAACCAAATCGCTGTATATTATAGATAGATTCGATACTAACCTGAGGAGGTACGCTGTCGATAAACTTGGATGACGATGAGCCCGACGTATTTACGGAAACTCCACCTCCAGCTACGGTCGCAAAGTTCATACCCTTTTGAGATTCGTTTTCTCGGCCACCCCACATCGACTGTTGGGTAACTTTCGTGAAAGTGTCATTGAACAAAGAATATTCGAGGGGCGTATTGTTCGTTTGCTGTTGCTGTTGCTGTTGGTGGTGGTGGTGTTGTTGTTGTTGTTGTTGCTGTTGATGTTGTTCTTGGATATTGGACGCAATAGGCGTCGAACTCCGTATTTGTTGTTGTTGCTGCTGCTGCTGTTGTTGTTGCTGTTGCTGCTGCTGTTGTTGTTGTTGTTGTTGTTGCTGCTGCTGCTGTTGTTGTTGTTGCTGTTGCTGTTGCTGTTGCTGTTGCTGCTGCTGCTGCTGCTGCTGCTGCTGTTGCTGCTGCTGCTGCTGCTGCTGCTGCTGCTGCTGCTGCTGCTGATGATGATGATGATGATGATGTTGTTGTTGTTGTTGCTGCAACTGTTGACACTGCGATACGATTGGCGGTGACGGACTGACTCGCACTGAATTCGAACAGGTTGAGGCGATGGAATTTTCAGGACAATACGCGATCGCAGTGCTTGCTGCTGGTGACATCGCGACATTCGAGCCGGGCGAATAAGTAGATTTTCCAGAGTAATGTGAGACCATAGTTGGCGGGGCAGATAAAGTAGGCAGTGGTCGGCAGTGTTTCGGCGATGTACTAACTATGGGCTGCTGAGACGAAGTCTGCTGAGCCGTTGCCGCCGCCGCAGCTGACACCACGGTGACAGTATTCGCTTGTAACGATTTCTGCTTATTTACCGTGGTATGAGTGGACTGCATCACGGTAGTGGATGTATGCGTGTTGGCAGTGATTTCGGATAATTTCGCTGCGAACGTTTGCGTGGTGCTTGTCGTCACGATTTTTGTTGCTCGTCCGGCGGTCATGATCGCGCTGGTATACGACATTGTCGTCTTCGTGTTCGATGACGATGCCATTTGGGCGGCTACAGCCTGCGCTCGTTTTTCGGCTACACACGTAGAAAAACAAGATTGCAAACAAGAAGAAACGTTGTGCTCGATTATTTGTAAAAAGTAATACAATATTTATGAAACATTTATATGGGCCTTATAAACTTTTCAGTCGATTATCATTACAAGTAAATAAGTTGCGTATAGATAGTCTAAAATGCCCTACCATATATCTGTTAAGAACATGCGTTTAAATGTTTTCTGCCGAATAAATATGAGATTCAAACTTGTAATTTTCGGTAATATTTATGGGGAAAATAAGGTAATGCATTACCTGCAGCAACGAGTCTAGGTGCCGTTGCACGTGGTAAAGGTGTTGGAAATGCTCCAGCAAGTTTAATGGTGGACGATGATCGAAGTGGAATCAATTGATTGACGGTAGAAACTCCCGATGGGTAACTAGATTTATTAATTTGCATACTATTGGAATTTGACGTTAGACTAGGTGGTTTACTTACAGGACCCAACTTTGCTTTACTCGACTAAAATCAAAACATAAATGAGGTTAAAAAACAAATTAATAATAAAAGTGTTTGAAAATCTTATTCACATCCAAGATACATTATTTGATCTTACGGCAATAGTAGAAACGGTCTTATCCCAAGAGGAAGTCGTGACAACTGTAAGTTTCGATTTCGGAAGCATTTGCAATATATCAACGTCTGGATCTTTAATGAGAGCTGCTATTAATGTATGAGCCTGTTTTGTTGCATCCGATGATCCTCTGAAAATAACAAGACAATGAAGGGACATGGTTAAAATATACTTTACGTATTCAGTTAGAAACTGTAGTTCGAAAGAATGAACATGATCGAGCACGTACTTGATAGTAATGATTCGTTCGCCTTGACATTTGCTTTGTTTTTCTACTTCGATATGCGCTCCTGTTGCGCCTCTGATAGCATTTATATTACTTCCACCTCTTCCAATTACCCGACTAATAGCATTCGGTGGAACAGAAACTTTCTTCGAACGGAATGGTGAATTCATAAATCTCCCCGAATCATCGGATTGCCCCCTGTTTCAGAACCATTTTTGTTTTTATATTTATTATCATTATTTCATAATTATTTAACCAATAATCGAACAATTATTTAAATTAATTTGTAAAGATAAAATCGGTTATCTTACTTTCGTACAACTTCCTTCCAGCCTTCCTCGCGCTTGCCACCTTGCTTGGGACTAGTGGTAGTGTTCGTCTTGATAGAAGTGTTCAATGTGTCTCCATCATATTGATTATTGTAAGATTTTTTGCCTTTGCCAGGCATGTACGTTTCATTTCCAGTTGCTTCAAAATCTTCTCTGTCGGCAGGATGTCTCGAAGACTCGAACACCAGTTGACCTTTTAATTTACGTTCACCGCAATTAACGGTCGAGGATCTGGCACTCATGGTAATAGAAGTTGTGGACACTGATACTCCGTTGGTGACGTTAGTTATGAGTCTTCTGAAAATAAAAATTATTGCAGAAACGTCGGTATTGCGATGAAATTTAATCGTAAAATTGATCGCGATTCATTCTACTCACTTCTCGGAAGTGTTGTTTTGAGACTTGGTCGGAGTGATGGAACTTTGAGACAAAGAAGAGCTTTGACCGATTACAGATTTCGGCGATCTTTGCGGGGATGTATCCTTCTCATTGTTAATAGGACTAGTAATTTTCTTTTTCTTCTTGTCTTTCTTTTTCTCTCTAGCTTTGACATCGTTGCTACTGCAGCTACCTTGGCTATTCGCATCGATTCCACTGTCGCCTTCTTCTCTGTCAGGGTCTTCCGGGCTTCTATTAACTGGCGATGGCATACTATCCATTCTTTCGCAATCATCGCCAGTTTCGTGTTCGCTATCGTCCGCCCTATCGCATTCTTCGTCGCCAGATTTCTTCCCGCTTTCCTCCTTGTCTTCGTAATTCCCTTCACTTTTCTTATATTCTTCGTGCAATTTCCGCTTCTCCTCCTTCTTCTCGAGTTTCTTTTTTTTCTTTCGTTCTCGTCTGCGAGCAGCCGCTGCTTTTTTCGATTCTTCTCGCGTTTTTTCCATATCGAGTTCTTCCAATAATATAGTCGCATTTTTGTTCGCTTTTGCTGCTTGAGTCTCTTTCGCAGCTCGAATAACTTTTACACACTCTTGGCATTTTTCTAGAAGTTCTTTGTCACTGACGGTTGCTATGTACCTTGTCATTTCTTGGTCACTAGGAAACTGAGTAACGTGATTTACCATCCACTTAACAACTTTAATGTGCCCCTTACGAAAAGCTGCCATTAAACAAGATACCTATAAAACATGGAAATATATATTTTGTTTGTCACATTCGAAGCAAGTACCATTGTATATGTAGTTTGAAAAAATCAAAGATCGAATTTATAAAATTGTACAAATTTCGTTTCTGTTCCATTTCATTATTAATTTTTTCTGTTGAAACTTTTTCTATGTTTATAAATATCTTTCTCTTATTTAGTGCCATAAAATATACTGACAAAAATTGAACATTAAAACCTGGAACATCCTGTATAACAAAGGCAATCAAAACTGACGTAATTAACTGAATTCGAACTGTCTCGTATGTACCTTGCGATTATCCTGCGAATCAATATCCGCGCCAGCGTGATACAATAAATCAACAACGTTCAAGTGCCCACCGTTTGCCGCTAACCATAATGGGCTATTTCCTTTTTTATTTTTCACCTCTACTTGGGTCCCTCTACACAATTTATAAAAAAATATATATATTTTATTACTGGATTCGAATTAAATGTATTAAAAATGTACAATTTTTAGTACATTAATAAAAACATTTCTACCTCGACAGTAATAATTCTACGAAACGGCAGTGTCCTTTATCAGCGGCGATGGTAAGGGCAGTATCGCGGGATGATGGAACAGGCGTAGCATTAACATCTGCCCCTTTGGTAAGCAAAACACGTCCAACTTCCACGTAACCTCCACTAGCTGCTTCCATCAATGGCGTTAATCCAGTCTAAGAAAAGTATTTACATGTACAACTCACACGTTTATTTATTTATTTATTTATTTACGTCATTTCAAAATGATTTCATTAATTTAATTAAAATTTCAATCACCAAAAATTATAAACTATGTACACGATTAATAGTAACAATCTGTTATTACTTTATATAAGTATATAACGTTTTGTTTAACAATTAATATATGTACTCTGGAAACTCTTCCTTCTGCTTGTATCCTCGTATTACATTATGTCTATACCTTATTTATTTATATTAACAAATAATGCTATACTTACATAAAGATAATAATTTATTTTAAAAGCTATTACTCTACGAAGAAATATTAAAACTATACCTTGGCACGATGTTCTACATTAGCTTTGCGGTCGAGAAGAAGGCTAACAACCTCGTGTCTTCCTTGAAAGCACGCCAACGTTAACGCTGTATTACGATTAGTCTCAATTTGAGCATTTATATCGCTGCCCATATCCAGTAACAGTTTTACCGCCGCTACAAGTTATCATTAATGAATATTCATTATGCTTAAACGTCTAACACACTGACAAGAGTAATTTTCTTTTAAAATATTTTTATAGTAGACATACCAACATGACCATTCATAGCGGCAAGCATGAGCGGAGAAATGCCTAATTTTGAGCCAGTTCGTGAGTTAATTTCAGCACCATGACCAAGGAGGAGCTTTATTATATTAACGTAACCACCGGATGCTGCGAGGCTCAAAGGTGTATAGTCGGAAACATTACGATGTTCCTTATTGGCACCCCGATTGAGCAGAAGCTCAACCACTTCGATTCTGCCACCGCTACATGCGAGAGACAGAGGTGTATCCTTAGTACGTTCAGACTGGGCCTCTATATCAGCCCCATGGTTTAAAAGAACCCCCACCACCTTCTGGTGTCCTGCCGTTGCTGCTAATATAAGTGGAGTGAACCCCTTTTTATCTCTATGTTCTGGAAAATTAAACATGTGTTAATAACTGTATCGTGTAAACATTACGGAAATTACGGTAATATCTCATAATGCTACTCGTAAAACGTTACCTATATCCGCACCGCGACTCAACAAAAGTTCAACAAGTTCATCGTGCCCACCAGCACATGCTAAAGTCAATGCTGTATCGTGATTACTGTCGGTTTCGGAATCAACATCCATACAAGAAAACGGTGCAGGCGGTACTTGGTTAGTTGTATAACCACCAACCGTTGGAACACCTGTTGTGTATTGACCAGCAACTAAAACAAAGTAGAAATTAAATAATTAACTAAAGCAACAAATTTGATTATCAACAAGTCGTATACTGATAAATATTTTTCAACGCGTCAACAACGTTAAGAACGAATTTTTTCACGCACATATAAAATTGTATTTTCTATTTTCTTCAAATTTATTGCAAACTAAGACTTTTTTCTTCTTTACTTCTTTGCCTTTCTCCTTTATATTAAGTATAATTAAAATGCGAACATGTTAATTCCAACTTGAGATTATTTGTCGAACGAATAATAAGATCAAATAATTTTAAGTCCCTCTCACCTGTAGTTGGATCTAAATGGTAATTTTGACTGGGAAAATTAGGTGCCTGCTGCTGCTGCTGGGTATTGGCAGTTTGTTGTTGCTGACATGATTGTTGCTGTTGAGACAAAAGTGGGTATCTTCCCTTTTTGCCTTTACCAGTCGTTGGTGCGGTATAAACTTGTTTTTTGTCCGAAGCAACTATAGTTGCAGCGGTCGTCGTTGCTGGTGCTTGAGTTTGAGTAGCTACTTGAACTTGATTAGTGCTACAGGTCGTTGATTGCACGTAACCGTTCGTTTCATGAGGTATGCTATCTATTATTCCTGTCGCTTCGGTTACAGTTGGTAAAGCTTGTGTAGGAAATGCTGTTTATAAAGAAAAAAAGAACAAAAAACAATCGTACACGTTTGTACCCAGAAAACTCAATATTTTAGAAGCTAACAGTAAACATTATCATATTATATTTACGATACTTACTTATCTGAGAAGATTGGAGTAACAGTTGTGGTTGAAAATGGCATCGAAGACCCTCGAGATATCCTTCTTGATACTCTTTTAAGTTCTTAAATGATTGATTTTGCAGAGACTGAGTACTGGTCAACTGTAAACCTGTCGTTATGTCTGCATGTATTTGAACACCCGCAGTGGTTACTTGAAGCGAAGGCAAGGTCGGTAACGAAACAGACGGTACCGACAAGACAGGATTGGTAAAATATTCTTGAGATGTATAAGGACTGGTCGTCTGTTGAACAATTTGTGTGGTTTGTAAATGTTGTTGTTGTTGTTGTTGCTGCTGCTGCTGCTGTTGTTGTTGCTGCTGCTGCTGTTGTTGTTGTTGTTGTTGTTGTTGTTGTAGCTGCTGTTGTTGTTGTTGTTGCTGCTGTGGATCCTTACTATTCGACACTTCTAATCTTTTTAATTCGAGCTTCTCTTGATCTTCCGTCGCTACTTAACCGTATAATATTTCACAATAAATTATATGAATTATTATAAGAAGAACAGGAAGTTATGTGAATTATTACCATCAACAGTATCATCGAAACTAATAGATCGAAAAATTTCAAAAGCGTCATCCAGAGGAATATGCGAGCCGTCCTCCAATTTTATAACGTTTTCACTAGTACAAAGCGCCTTTGCTTTTTGAGCAGCAGCGACAAAGGGACAAGCTCCGTCCCGATGCAGTCTCGCCAATTCAGGATCGGTCTGCTCCGTAAGATTTTGTTGAGTTGTTTGCTGCGAATGTGTAATTCACACAAATAATGAAATGTAGAAATTTATTTTAATTCTTTACAATGCAAATATTTCGTAAAAATAACCTATAATTACCTGGTCGTGAAGATGATGAGTATGCGTAGGATGAAGATGCGACATTAACTGGGTAGGCATAAGTATGTTGCTTCCATTAGCAGTTACTGCTCCAGCTTGCTGCTGAGACTGCGATTGTAATGGCTGCTGTTGAATTTGTGGTTGTGGTTGTGGTTGCTGCTGTTGTTGCTGCTGTTGTTGCTGTACCTAATTACAAACAAAGTGCCTGGTGTTGCTAAAAAGTTCAGCAAAGTGTAACAAAGTCATTCGGTATCATGAAAGTTCGTGAATTAGAGGATCCTAATGATCAAGCAACACGTACCATGAATCTTTGATTTCTTATCACGAACTAATTTATAAGGAATAACATTAGATCGTTTAATTCCAATTTCGTAAACTAGTAGTTGATTATTGAGAATTACCGTGGAGGATTATTCACATTTGCTAATATATGTTTCGTTTTAAATAATGAGAACAATTTAATAGTTCCTGCATTTCATTTTCCTACCAACATATCCTCCATCTATTAATATACAACATTCTAATTTCTTCAAAAACAATATTTTGTCAATGCTGCTGGATTTTAGTAAATGAAAACGTTGCTTACAATACATAAAGTCCATCTTTAAACCAAGCAACTTTTGTGAGAACAATTTTTTTATACCTTTAACTGGTTACG